GTGTGTGTGTGTGTGTGTGTGAGGTCTCACCCAGTGGGTCTGTAGGGGTGCCCTTGAAGATGAGCCGGTAGGTGGTGAGGAAGATGGCACCCTCGGCGGGAAGCAGAGGTGGACCTCCCATCATCCCTGTGGCCTCCTCGCGGCCGTCGGGAATCAGGTGGACCCGCATGCCATCCATCACCAGCTCCTCACCCGGCAACAGAATCGGCCTCAGCAGCTTGGGCTAAACGGAGACAAAACACAAAAGAGAGGATGACAGGGAGGATTATTAACGGTGTCACAGCAGGAAGAAGATGGAAGTAAAGTAGAGCAATCAGCTGTGGCACTTATGTAAAAAATGACTGTATGGTTTTATTTCTGTTTCCAGAGCATCTGCCTTTCTTTTAATTTCAAGCAGAAATGTTCGGAACCTCACTTCATACATTCAAGTTATGTCTAAATGCATGAGAAACCAAGCCATCCAATTTAAACACATTGAGACTAAATGGAAATTGGTTTCCAGAGCAACTGGTGAAAGATAAGTAACTGTCTTCATCTGATCCTTTTTTCTTTTTTTAATGCTTGGTTTTATAATGACTGTGAAACAGGACTGGAAACAATGTAAAACCCTAGATTGTGCTTGTGAGTCATTCGTCTATGTAACAGCATGTTGCAAATATAAACTGTGGCGACTGAAACTGTCACACTTTCAACTGAAACATGAGTAAATGCGTCATCCTGCAGGAACTCTATTAACATTTAAGATAATCAAATATCTTCTTATGATATTTGAACGATCACTGCACTCATCAAAATCCACCACCATGCTGAGTTACTGGATGACCTGCACTGTTTGGGAGGTTACATATTGAAAAACAGATAATGCTGAAATGACTGTATTACTGTTGCATAATAAGCACATCAAGCAAGTTGGACTAGTGAAATCTTGGAAAAGATTATTTCACAAACAAATTCACAGAAAATATATATTAATGTTTTTATTCATGCAGTGTTATTATAAAACTTTTGAGCAGTCCCTGACGATCTAACCTCATGTCTAAACTTTGCTTTATTTTCAAACATAAGCTGCTCAACTTTTCTGAACAATGGCACTATGAAACAAGCTGGCTCTCGTCCCTTACATCACTTCCTGTGCTCCAGTGAGGCCAGGAGAACTTCCTAAGGAACTCTAAAACTGATAAACATTTAAATCCTGGCAATCCGTAATCTGTTACGCAACATGTCACACACATCCACATTCCAGCTGCATTCGCACAGCGGAGACAGGGGAGTGTGTTAACTGTCGGGACCCTGATACAGAGAACTAACACCACAAGCTCATCTCCAATACAATGAGCTGCTCTTTAAATGCTCAGGATGTGCAAAGCTGGTGTGTGTTATAAAGTGAAATAGTGAAAGGAAACCGTGAGTAAAAAAAAAACAAAGGGAGTGATGAGGACAAATCTGCTCACGTGGAGTTACATTATCTGAAGCTGAGTGGTTACATGTTTTAGTCACAGCTCTTTAGTGAAATGATAAAACATGAGGAGTTGAGTCCCTCTGGAGAACACACCCTTCAGACTGAAGGCACTCCAGGTCTGCAGGGCCTCTGGGAGCTACAGCAGCCAGGCTGAGTGCCACTGAGGCTCAAAGACCAAACAGCACAACAAGGGGGAGCAATCACCCAGCATGCACTGCTCAGGCGTGCCGTGAGTCATACGGTTCTGTCTCTGGCGGACAGACGTACCTGCTGTGGTATTGTGAGCCTGAGCTGTAAGGATTGGTGGAGAGGGGAGTGGGCAGGGCAGGCTGGGGTTCTGCGTGGCCTTTCTCCAGTGGGATGTAAAAATAGGAATTGGTTACCTTTTGGATTGGAGGCAGTCTCTTACTCTCCCTGTGGACTGCGTCTAACGTCTCAATGTGCATCTGAACAATATCTGCAGGGACAAAGACAGAACGACAATATGTAAGAATCCAGGCGACGGTTTCCTGGCAGGTTTGGTGTGATGCTCTCTATGCTTCGAAGCCAGATCACCGAGTGTCATGGTGCTTCCATACCCGGTATCATGGTGTGGAGAGCCTTAAGGTGCTCGTTGGTCACGCCGCTCTCATTGCACACTTTGTCGACAAAGCGGTTGATGAAGCGCACCACAGAGTTGGCCACATCTGAGCTCTCTGCGTCTTCAAAGCCGCTCTCTGTGTCGTAGCTCTCCGCCATGCTGCCTGCAATACTACAAAACAACACAACCAGCTTTAGAAAAGTGCAATACAAGGCAGTAGCTGGGATTAAAATCCTTGCTAATGAATTGTAAACCATTTTATATGAAATCAACGGCCATCAATTATTATCGTAACAATTATGACAGTTCAAATATAATTGCATCAATAATATAAGTAAATGGGACACTTCACAATTAAATGAGTTTTTTTGAGCTGTAAAGTAAATTATGATTGTTCTCTGATGAGATACATTAGTGCTTTAATATCACATTTATTAACAAATTCATAAAAACAAAAAAAATCTACATTTATGGTTGAACATGACTTACATCCCTACAAACACATTCTCCATTGGAGAACGGTATCTGCAGTGCCCGCACGAACAGGGTAAAGGACATCATTGGTAGTGATTGATTTATCATTTTGAGTAAAACACATTCATGGTGATTTCACAGCCATGCAACTTATTCGATCGTTTGCTAACATTTGCCTCCTGACTAACGTTATGTTACACATGTGAGTCTGACCCCCAGGTGAACGCTGTCCATACCTGTTTGTGACGTAGCTGTTGCTAACGCTCTCTACGTCTCCGAGGCCTGTGTTCCTCAGCAGCCGGTTCTTGCTGGTGTCCAGCGGCAGGAGCAGGTAGCTCATCCTGTTAGCGTAGTGGATGGCCTGGCTGAACACCGTGCTCTCCTCCTTCTGTACACGCTCCATCTGCATCTCCTTACTAAGTGTCGGCCACAGCCTGTTCTGCTCTGACGCCAGCTCCAGGGCGCTGATTTCCCTCCCTTCACCCGAGCCGTCCTGCTGCTCCTGAGAACAAAACGAGGGAGGTCCTATTAATGACTAATTCTCTCAAGACAAAGGACACAAGCAGGATTAACACCTTTCTATGATGACTGCAGTTTGATATCAGAAAGATAGGAATGCAGTGTGAGTACTTACCAGGTTCTTCTGCTGCTCTCCATCCTCTGATTCCAGGTACAGAGCCCTGATGTGGTTCTGGACGTCGCTGTAGAACATGGCCTCCCAGAACTGCATGTTGGTCCACACCATGTGCTCCTGTACACAGCTGTAGGCAAACTGAGTGATGCCTGAGCCGAGTTTCTGTTAAAGGAGAAATATTATGAAGGAGATTCCAGCAACCTCAATTTAACCTGAAGCTCTTCTCATCCAGTGAATCCAGTATGACTTTGGTGATGCTGGTTATGAACTTACTCTGCAGAAGGCCGTGACCAATGGTAGCAGGGCCGCTGCGATGCCATGTTCATCCATGTGTGAACAGTCCTGCACAGACAAAGAACGGCAACACATCACAACAGACATCAGACACCTCTAATAGGATGATGACTTGCAGACCATAAAACAGGAATGCATTCAAAATAAGATTTAACAGAATTATTTAAACTAACCACTGCATTGTATGTGCTTAATGTTCTGTCCTGTTTTTCAGCTGCCTTCCAATGTGAACGGACCAAGAGGCACAATTGTGAAGAAAAAAAACAAGTTGATGGACATGCACAAAAGAGCCTGTGAGCTATCACACCATTGATCAAACAGTATCCAGATAAATTGGCTAAATTCATCTAAGCTCTCCGTCTTTGTAGGAAAATACAAAGTGAAAATGCAATGCACAGACAGCATAATGAGACCCAGTGTTTCCCAGCGATGACCTAGACTGTGGCAGCCCGCCATATTCTAATTTGTCCCCAGTTTCATAATGGACCCAATTTTTGTTTCACTTCTGACAATGACATAAAAGATCTATAACATGGTGTTTTGTGCCGTTTCTTCTTTGTAGAGCTGCGTGCATCGATGCACTTCACCCCCTCTTTGCCCTACTCTCACTAACTTACAACGGACCCATGCTTGAACATAATCAAGCACACCAAAGGAGACTGTTGCAAAGGCGGTTGTCATTAGGTTGGACAAACAACTTCTCATTACCGTTTTATTTTTTCCAAAGGTCTAAAACGGCGCTTGCTGCCACACCTGAATTACCAGCTTCAATTCAGGATTGAGGGCTCAACAACAAGTGGTTTACACGTAGTTACAATTGATTTTCAACTCTGTAATAATGTTCAGCTCCCCTGTTCCACTACTCCTGAGGCTTACCTGTAAGGTGCAGTTCAACATGCGGACTATGTAGTCAAACTGCTGGTCATCCAGCACAGCTCGGTTCTGCAGGACATGCTGATTGAGCTCCTGGGTCAAACAAACCCGGGCTGCCCGACCCTTCAATGCCCGAAGTACAGCTGGCATCAGCTGAACAGAGGAGAAAAACCACACAATCACAACACAATATCTGAGTCATCTACACAGACATGTAAAAAAAAAAACAGTAGAACAAATAATGACATATTTTAATACAAGTATTTGAGGAAATGACGTTTCAAGTTGCTACAACCACTGGAGTAGATTGTCTGTTGTTTTATTATTAATGAGAAATACAGATACGGTTTTATAAGTTTTTCTGTTAAACACCTACGTAGAATTTTGTGACAGTTCATTCAGTGCTATGAAACTATCACACTCACCTTCTTTGCCTCCAGCATCTTGTTCTCAAAGATGTATGTGATGCAGTTCCTGACCACCTCCAGCCTGCGGGCGCTGTTGGCCATCACGTTTCCGTTTCTATCCACAATGTCTCCTGCAGAGGTGGGTGATCAGACACTTATCCATCACTGCAGCACTGAACTAAACCCCATTACACAGACAATGTGAGACAGACTGTCTCAGTGTAAAGCTTACACAAGACGTTTGGCGTACAAGAGCAGATGAAGAGTTTTACTATCAAACCCAACCTTCTAACAAACTTTTAAAACGCATTTACTATATGTTTGTCTTATCAGTGCTTTTGTAATAACTGCCTCCTTTTTCCTCTCTCTATTTTTACTGAATAAAGTCTGTACCCATATTATTTTGGGACTTAAAAGTACTATAACCCTTCTGTATAGTCTGGTCATTATAGCTGTGCATATGTTGTGCTCTATTTTCTTAACAACATAATGCCAAACAAGATGCTTGGGTTAATTTAGAAATGGTGTCATCATACAATTTTTCCAGCAGAGCCTGCTCTGACACCATGTTTCACGATTCTCTCAGCATTGTCTGCAACTAGTTTGTGAGATGCTACTGAAAAGCTATACTCGTTTTCCCTTTCAATATAATTCAGACAAATAAGCTTCTATATGTGCAAATATTTCATATCTATACCTGAATATTTTCCTCCCTAAAATCTGTCAAATCAGTCAGGCTCTATCTTTTGGTATAATGCACTTTTTGTCATCGTTCCTGAATCCATCAGCTGATATTTAGCAGTTTTCAGACTACTTCAAAGGCCTCTCTACCTGGTGTCTATCATCGTTGGGACTAAAAATGTTCTCACAGCACTAGTGGCTGAATACTATTTCACACACCAACACAGAAAAAGTTTCAGCCCCGCAAATCTCCTCCCCAGCTCACCCAGTGGGGGCCCAGAAGGCACCATGGCCTTGAGCTCCGCCTTGACCACGGGAGGTGCACTCTTGAGCTTGGCGGAAGCGTGGTCGATGAAGAGCTGCACTGCAACATCGTCCAGCCCAGGAAAGGGCGTCTGATTCGGTGCCTCGTTCTGTCTGCTTTCTTTCGGCCGCTGGACCTTGTGCATCGCCACTGCGGGGTAGGGATTCTCCTGGAAGAAAGAACACACAGAGAATCACTGTTAAAGGAACAGAAGAGAGGAGGGACAAATTTGAGTATTGGTGACACAAAGAAGAAGGTGGACAAAGTACCAAGAGAGGGATAAGTCTTGTGAGATTGGGTGAGTAAGACGGGGAGAGAGAAAAAGGGAAAAAGACTCAGGGGGCACGACAGAACGAGGGCCAACAATGTTAAGTTTAAGTACGTTTTTGAAGAGCTGCTCAGCGAGCTCCTTGACATGGTTCATGACTTTGTGTGGACACGCCTCCTCTTGCCGTATCCGCTCCACCTCATTGGCTACCAGCTGTGAAAACATGACAAAGCAAGCGTAACAATTTAAGCATTTTTTTCATATTTGAGGCAAAAACATTCAGTTCCCACCAGATTTTTTCTAATGATCTCACTAATATCTGTATAATCACTATAAACAAAAAGTGAATTACATTAATTATATTGTTTTTGCTATATATTTATTTATAATATATTTATATATATTTCAGATCCTCATACTTTGAGTTTAGGGTTTACCTGGATGTCAGTTAAAAGTAAATGCTTGTACATTGTCTTCATGGTTCACTAACGATGTGTTACAATATGAGATGACTGTTTGTGTGACTGTAAGCCATTAATTATTTAGAATTATTCTCCTGCACATTGTGCCAACAGACTTACATCATCAAATAGGTCAGTGGCTCTGTAAGGAGGCCCCCTCTCTGACACGAAACCTGCAAATGCCATGCCGTCCAACACCTTCATCAGGAAATCGTCCTCTGTCAGCGATCTCTGGCCCAGGAAGGCAGCCTGCAGAAACACATGTTAGCACTGATCTCTTGTGTGCGATCCGATCAGAATATTTCTTCATGTAAATGAAACACGTCCGATCTGCAGTTTTAGATGCTGTATTATCTACAGCTGAGTTATCTTCCTGTACCTTGTGGAAGCGGATCACTGGTTCAGGGTGAATGCGAATGATGTGTAGACACCAGCGGTAGCCCTGGAAGAGCCGAGCGAACAGCCACAGGAACACTGCACGGATCTCCTTATCCTGGAACACACACACAATGGATGAGTAAAAGCCAACACACAAAGACACACACACAAAGAAACTAAAATTATAAATGGAATGAATAGGACAACTGCAACTATTCTGCACCTGCTATTTTCTTTGGTCAACATTTCTTCTTGAAGATTTCAAAAAATAAATATCTCATACAAACAAAATTTAAAAAAACGAATTTCTTTCTGTGTTGGCTGTACAGTCTATATTTATCAAGAATTTACTTTACTAAGAATTAAAGCTAAGAGCAAGTAACATTTCATCACCTCAGTTGACACTTCCTGCTTTTTGAGAAAACAAAAGCTGTTTGTCTCTGCAGGAACCTTCCCCGGGAACAATAGGAACCTTTGCAGGAACATTGTGTTTCCATCATGACCAGGGTCTAAATCTAGTTCTGGGGAAATCTTTTTACCACCAAACCTTGCTCTGGGGTTAACCAAGGAACAGGAACCATACAGGGTGGGGCTTGCATCACTGAAGATGCCTGACTGGTCAAGTACTCAGCTCCTTAAATCTGTCTCCTTACATAAGGGGAGTATTTCAGTTGTTTTGAAGCCTCTTTGTTACGAGAAGACAGCAGATTAGTTGACTAGCTTTTGTTCTTTACCTGGATCTTAAGTGCAGAGGGTTGTGAAGAGACTGGGGGAAAGGCATGATCAGCAATTTCAAGCTCTGGATCCAAAATCTGCAACAACAAGAACAATGACATGAAACCAACACCCATACAAACTGGACATTGTTGTATTTTTCAGTCAAACAGTCTTTGCAGAAGTGAACCGAATAATTCCCTTTATTATACAATGGATATAAAAAGTCTATACACCCCTGTTAAAATGCCAGATTTTTGTGATGTAAAAAATGAGACAAAGATAAATCACTTTTAATATGACCTATAACGAGAACAATTCAATTGCAAAACAAACTGAAATCTTTTAGGGGGAAAATGAAAACTAAAAAACAAAAATATTGTATCAGTGTGCTTCATCTTTCTAACGGAAGCCTGAAGGTTTTGTGCCAAACTGACTGGTATTTGCAACTGTTCTTAGTTCCCTCCACCTTGACTAAGGCCCCGGTTCCTACTGAAGAAAACCAGCCCCAAAGCATGATGCTGCCACCACCGTGCTTCACTGTGGGTATGGTGTTCTTTGGGTGATATGATTTAGCCGGGCTTGGATGTTTTTCTTCATAAGAAAAGGCTTCCGTCTTGCCACCCTACCCCATAGCCCAAACATATGAAGAATACGAGAGATCGTTGTCACATGTAGTACACAGCCAGTACTTTCCAGCAATTCCTGCAGCTCCTTTAATGTTGCTGTAGGCCTCTTGGACGCCTCCCTGACCAGTTTTCTTCTCGTCAGTTCTTGGTAATGCCACTGTTGTGCCGTATTTTCTCCACTTGATGAGGACTGTCTTCACTGTGTTCCATGGTATATCTAATGCCTTGGAAATTCTTTTGTACTCTTCTCCTGACTGATACCTTTCAACAATGAGTTCCCTCTGATGCTTTTGCTGTAAGTGAAATCCTACCACAACAGCTGAACTGTATTAGGGATTAATCACAGTCACTTTAAATGATGGCAGGTGGGTACTGACTACTACTTAACATTAGTTTGAATGTGATTGGTTATAGTTATAAGAGGGTGTGCCATTTATACAACCACAACATTTTAGTTTTTTAGTTTTCATTTTCCCCCCTGAAAGATTTCAGTATATTTTCAATTGGATTGTTGTAGGTCACATTAATGGGGGAAAAAGTTCTGACATGATTTATTTACATCACAAAAACCTGCCATTTTAACAGGGGTGTGCAGACTTTTTATATCCACTGTAGGTGTAATTCTTCTCCTGCAGCTTTAACCATTGTAGCTAATGATATCTATCCTGTCAAGTACTGGTACTTAAATATGCTTACAAAACATTTTGTTAGCAACAGCCCCTTATTCATACAGTTCTATATAAAAAAATTCAAAGATATCATCACTTTTGATGATTTTGGTAGAGAAGTGGAGTCGATTGAAACAGTTCCTCTAAGTAACCGATTTTGATTTGCCAGCACTAAGGAAAACAAAAAAAGACTCTGGGTTTTATAAGACAGAAATATTTGCAGCAGCAACATATTCCAGGCCAAACAAATACAAAGCAAATTGTATCCCTTGGAAACAGCCATTGGTCTCACGGCTAATACATGAATATCCCAGCATACTGAAAGGAGAGCGGAGCGTCTAAGCTAAGCCCCGGTTCATGGTTGCTGCCCGACAATCTTCATCATCATTTGCAACCTTCAACCAAACCCCACTGATCACTTTTCAAGGTCTGCGGTTTATCTATTCTTGTGTCTTGTTTCAGTGATGAAGGCCAGATCGAGTTCCTGCTATTTTTTAGTAATCTCAGACAACAACACACGCACAAAAACAGAGACATACCCAACACAAAAAGCCAAACCTGAGTCCTGCACCGGGTCTGGTAGCGGAGTTGTGAAACAGGTAAAACATATTTATAACCAAAACCCAGGCGTAAATTAAATCAACATGGGCGGGGAACGGGTGAGAACTTTCTTAGGGATTAGAAATGAATCCGATTGTGTAATAATTTATAACATCTAAATGAGTTAATATGAAGCCTAGAAAGCTGCAATGATTTATGTTATCATGAAAATCTATGAGAACAACTTTACTTCTGCTCAATTAACTGCCACTACTGAGATCAAACTGACAATAATTAAATGGATAATGACACGGAGAAAACACAGGAGCACAGATGCTTTTCCAGGAACTAAACTCAGCCATAACCTAAAGGATGTGAGTGACTGTGCATGTAGCATGTCTGTTTAATCACAGGTGACCGGTCAGGTCGCGGGACATAACAGTCCACACTTGGAGATAATTGCAGGCAACAGGTCAGAGCTTTGTAGGCGCAGGTTTGCAAAAATAGACCTGTGCAGGACTCTGGCTGAGCCTACAAACACATGAACTCACTCATGCATTCAGATGGACACCAGGGGAAGAGACAAAAGCAAACAAAACGAGAAGTGACTCCCAACCTACGTCACAGCAGCACATAACAAACGCTTTGTTATTAAATCCATCAAGATCCATCAACAATCCTCCAGTTTATAAATCTGCGTTCGAAAGGAATTCTGCTGGCTGAGGACACAGACCCATACCCCAGTGAACTTATTTTTGACTTACTGACTCGCTTTTATTCCATCACCACTGAGAAATGACCACAACTCACAAGAGTCTCTAGGTTAGAGGTCATAAAGCACACAGAGCAACCAGTAAGAGGAATGCTCCTAAAAATACAAAAACAAACAATTTCACAATAAAGTGTTTGTCATATCTTCATTAGACCTATGCCTTTTTTTAGCCTTGTAATCGGAAACATAGAGCAGATGCCCCAGTCAGTAAGTCACAGTTCAGTGTTGTGCTTGAGGAAAATTTCTGAAATTTCTGGTCTGTATTTATTTGGTGCTTAAGCCTTGATGACCACTCAACGTGATTCACCCATTCTCACTCATGTGCAGCAATTTCTCTGTCACACATTAGTCACACACTAGCTGCACAGCCATCAGGGGAAATGTGGAGTTCAGTGTCTCTTCCAAGGACACTTCAGCACAAGGAATCGAGGAGAATAGGATCAAATCGCCAACCATCTGGTTGGAAGACGACCGGTTCTACCTCCTGAGGGACAGCAATACGAAAACTGTGTTTGGATAATAATTTGGGGGCTTCCTTCAGGGTCAGCAGCAAAACGAGGAATGCTTCCATTCAGCAATGATATAATTGAAATATGAAAACAACAACCACAAGTAGAGTTTACAGTCTAACTACTATCATCACTCTATGAAACAGTTATAAAGTAATATACAAGAAAGTGGTCTATAGCCTTGTTGTGAGTCATCTTGTTAAACCTGTTCAATTGGTTTAAAAAAAAAAAACAAAGGACTGCAGCATTGATAAAAACAAGATAATAAAACAATTAAAATAATTCAAATTAAATGCAGGGATAAAGGAAGCATATCGCAGGGTTGTGCATGTGCACAACGTCTTGTGGCTACATCCTGTGCCTTTGTCTAAGAAGATAAGGAGGCAAACAAAAGGGAGCAGAGTGACTGATAAGGTCGAGTGTGAAGCAGGTGATAGACTGCGGGGAAGACAACAGGTGACGAGAGGGTGGTGGGAGTGTGATGAGCAATGGTTTTTATTGTCCAAACAAAATAAGTTGAACTGGAAAATCATTTATTTTCCTGTTAATAATCTTTTCACAATCACGCAAGGAGGAGGTTTTTAAATTAATCTAGGTTTTATTTTCCTGTGGTAAAACAATAAACCTGAGCTTTTTCAAACTTATTCCCATGTGCGGAAATTCCCTTCAAACATCAGTTGACTGGTTTGTAACAGTCAGCCACTAGAACTAATAGTTTTTATAGCAGGTACTTCAAATGATTAAACGTTCCCTCCTTTTCTATATCGTATGTAATTTTAAAACATTCATAACTTTAAATCAGCACTGCAGTTTTGTATTATGTATAAACCTTTTAATTGGAGTGCTTACTCATACTAATATATTGCTGTATATATTGTTGGTTTGCTGCTATAAACATCTAGACTGCTGTAGTAATGAAATCAGCACAATGCATTTATGATTAGAGAATATCTCAGGATCACTCATGTAAATATTGTGAGAGTTCGTGGGAAGAACATGTCCGATATCAAAATTTAGGCAGCGTCCAAATACACTTGGCATATCTGAGCTGAGACGGAAGGGAATGCCAACTCATCATCTCCCAAACAAACATGTCCTAACCTCTAACTCAGTGACGTGACAAACCCAGCCATGTTCAATCAGCAGAGGGAAAACTGTCAATCTGTCACCAGACACTCACTCACAAAGACATTAAATTGATCATTATGATTTAGATGGGACTGTAATCACAGGAGCAGCAAACAAAGCTGACTGTCAAGGAAGGAATGACTTAAAAGGTTTTTCCCACAACTGGCTGTAAAAGTCTGTCTTGAAATCATACTTAAAAAAAAGTGCATAAAAAAAACAACAAAATTGTACTTAAGAACATTGTATAACAGTTGGATACAAGTCGGTCCGAATTCGAGTTTATGTTTGCCACTAAGCACCAATATGAGATATTTTATTTTACAGGGAAAAAACACAGAAAAGATTTGTATGGTTTGTGTTTTCTTTTTATTCATAGTTAAATGTAATCAAATTTATGGTCAAACTACAAAATACCAATCCTCAATTCTTAATCAAAAGGGTTTGAAACCAACATCTTAGTAATCTCTCTCTATGTATATATGTATATCTGCTGATATTAGTGATGTTTTAAGTAATTTTAGGGTAAAAATAACATCCTTACATTCAGTGTTTTTATTGCAATTAACAAACTAAACAAGGAAACGTTCAGGTGATTGAGTTCCTTTTTATGGATGCTGTATACTGAGTGTTATGAAAACTAGTTTGTCTCACAGACTATTAACTCTGCAGCACGTAAGCTGGCAGAACAGCAAGATGGTAAAGAGATAAGAAAATCAAGAGTGTACTTGAGACATTCAATATACTATGACCAGTCTTTATGTGATCAAACAACTGTTCATCATTCGCTGACTAATGGTTTGAGTCACAACAAATCACACTGTTTTCAAAAGTATCCTCCCCTATTTACTATAAAACATATAAATCCAACGGTTTCCCAGCAGGAAAGATATTCACGCATTCTGCTAAAATCAATAAGATGATAAGGAAGCAGGAAAAATAAATGTGTTCAAAGACTTGAACAGATAAGCATTTCTCAGAATGGGCTGCCATTTGAAGAAAGGAAGGGACTGAACTGCAGTGGAGTGTTTGATAGGAACGGATCAGTGCGGAGCAGGAAGAGCACATGATAGGACATGCTTTTCCATAAAGTGTGTGGGTGATACCGTTACAACTACAGCTGAGTTGGCACCAAAAAAAAATAGTTGAGGCACCAACTAAAAGAAAATAAACACTAAAAGAAATAGACAACAAACATAACTGAAACTAACATTTTCTGTTGCAACAAGAAGGAACAGATCGACTGATTAACCAGATCTTCAAATGTCTCTCAATGAAAAATGGATGAAAATAAATTTTAAACAAAGGCAACAGCATGTGAATCTTGATTAATTTGAATTTAGCCTGGAACAAAATAGGTTACCGACATGCAGGTGACAAAACACGCATGTTGTATAATACAATGGAAAACACAAGCAGAGATGATCTAATCTGAAGTTATGATTTGAAGGGACAGAATATTTGTGATTGTGTTCACACACTGAACTTATTTTATTAGTAAAAGTTTCACCACTTCATACTCGAAAAACAAAGAATGCCCCATAAAATCTAACTATAGCAAATCCAAAATTAAACAGCCCTTTAATCACCACTGGGCAATTTATTGCTTGGTGGTAAAAACCTCTGGTTGTTAATGAGAGGTTCCTGTACTCAGTGGAGGTGTGTGTGTGTGTGTGTGTGTGTGTGTGTGTGTGTGTGTGTGTGTGTGTGTGTGTGCGTGTGCGTGTGTGCGTGTGTGCACACTCAGTGTTTTGGTTGCAGCACTCACCATTGCCAGCACAGTCTGTGTCTGCTGAAGGAGCGGTTCAGGCAGCAGGGAGATGTGGACACACTCTGGAATGGTCACCGTACCACCGTCCAGGTCGGCAACGATCACATCCAACTGGGCAGAAAACACACACATGTAAACACACTATTCATCTCTGTCGATAAAAGCACATTGGTTGGACACACAAACTGATTTGCAGTGAGAGAAAGATTAAGAGACAGAGAGATGTCATCTCTGTCAACAGCTGCTCATTACATGAAGCAGATATCAAACAACAAAACATAAATTCACTGCAGACAGCAGGAAGAGCTGCCCAGACGATAACCTCTGACCCTTGACCCTGACGACTGCTAGTACACCGATATCTACTGTACAAAACATAGCATTTCACTGTGACATGAAATAATGGCTCCATCAGAGCGGCAGAGTGTGTACAGTCAGAAGTTTCATTATACAACTCATCAGACTTTAATAAGTGAGCGGCAAATTAAATTCTTTGATCAACAGATGTGAACTAGTGGTTTACAACCTGGGGTCTACCAATGTCAACTCCAGGGTTCAACCAGTGGATGTGGATGAAAAAAGAAACAATAAGAGAAATAACTATTAAGACTGGGGAATTGTTTTAACATCATATTCCCTGTACGGATGTCATCATTTTAAAATGTGTGTCCTCGAGAGTAAAACTGTATATAGGTTTCAACCAACCTGATTATTCTGGGGGTTCGTGACTTAAAAAAGGTTGAGAGCCACTGATCTAGACTCTAATTATTTTGATTTAAATTGGTGTAATTTAACTTGGCAAGGTTTGTATAGAGAACTGTAATAGAAGCTACAGAGGCCAACAGGTAGCAGGGGCAGTTTAATGAAAGACAGACGAACCATTACTTAATGGGTCACTAAGAGTTTACATGTAACATACCCCCCATTGTCATCGAAACTCATGGCAGAGCAGCAGACTGTGAGTACGTACAGAATAGAACATCTTAACCTCCTCTGTCTGATTTCAAGGTTATTCAACTCTTGAACAAGGCCCTCATCAACTTTGAAAACTAAAACAGCCATTTCTGCAAAACAAGTACCACATGGCTCTCCTCCAGCTGGAAACCGGCAGCAGGTGATCCAAAAAGTAAATCGTCTACAGAGTGCATGTTGCTTTTTTGAATTATAGAATGTTCTGTATGGAGTTGGTATTTTATCCTCTAATTGGATGTCAAAATGTTGTGCTGCTTTGGGCTGCATCCGGATCAGTTTCTGTTTAAAGTGGTTTCATCCTTGTGAATAAAGTGCGTATCTGGCCAATAATTGAAGCTGGATGTTATATGTTAAATGCATATTTTTAAACACAATTCAGTCTCTTCATTAGGGGCTGGCTCAGAACCAGGCCCTTGAACTGTCATGGGGGAGAAGGGGTAATTGTGATGTTGATTAAGAACTCACCAGTTCTTGTGTTTCGGAGCGGAAGAACGAATTGACACCAATGATGAAGGGGGTGGGAGTGCTTAGGACCTCTATTAGTTTTCCAGGTAGGATGGGAACATAGGTGAAGCTGAGAAAGACACAAACACAAAAAGAGATTTTTCACATCAATGGTTGTCAATAACAGCTCATACATGTTGTGTTTAATAAACACTAGTTATCAGACTTGATATGTTGTAAACAAAATCAACAATAACAGCTCGAGAACGATCTGAAGACAGAGTTCAGGGACTGCGGGTGGAGACACACCTGTATTTAAGGGGGAACATGATGGCCAACAGTCCGCGGCAAGCGTCCGTGAGTCTCTGGTAGCTACAGGACAAGAACAGGATCTTATGTTCCGTCAGGGCAGCGCATAACAGATACAACACGTTGACTATACCTGAGGGAGAAGAGAGCACAGACAGGACGTCAATGTCAGTCCACAAGGTGAACAAATTAAAACACATACTAATAAAGTCCAGTTATGACCTACGTTCTATCTTTAAGAAGCTTTTAAAGTTAATTCATGAAATCTGATATTGTCATTATTAAAATGTATTAAAAATAGAGGGAATCTGGCTGTTTTGGCAGTGGTTCTACTTTACGGTCCACAGAATGAAGTCATCATATGCATCAAATTCTACCAATCCTTCACTTGGACACTATTCAGAAAATCGAGCTGTATTAATCAATATTATATTAGTTCGTACCAAGCTGTCTGAAGAGCTGGGCCACACTGCTGCCGCTGACAGGAAGCGAGTCATCGATGGGAGTCTGGATAACTTGCCGGTCGCCAGCACCTAACGTTATCGTCCTCTATAGATTGGAGAGAGAGGGGAAAGATTGAAAAGAGGTCCGAGGGTTAGAAAGTCATGGAACAAATGGCGTTTTCTGAGAAATCCAGGGTTTGAAAGCTCGGTTTAATCACAGTTGTGCGTGAGAGCAGCATAAATTAGCGACAGAGAGATGGAGAATCCCAGAAGCTTAGCAGGTACGTGACAAATCAGACACAAGCCATTCCAGCTGATCAGGATGTGAGTGGAGCTTGGCAGGACTCCATGCCAACAACTGCACTGCAACACAACACCACCACGTCAATGAGCCTTTATGGGAGACTGAAATCCCAGCATGGCAGGTGTCATGTGCAGGTGATTTTCCACTGCGGCCTAATGTAAAATTGATCATGGTGTATCTGTTCGGATGATTCGGTTAGGACAATGAAACTCCTGAGATAAATGTCACAGAAGAAATTCTCAACTGAGCTGACGTGCCATCTGTAAAAAGGCTGAAACAGTGTGTCCGAACACTATGCCCTCCATTACAGATAACAGATAGCTGGAAATGTTCTGAGCTCCAGACAAAAGAGAAAGCCGATAGATATTGATTCATGAGTGGATAACAACTGTATCCGGGAGTGGAAATAGCAGTGATTTAGACTGTAAAAAACAAATCTATACAGTTTAATTACAATCATCCAGAATTGAGCTCTGCAGCACAAAATGAGACACAGGATACCTTAGAGACAAGATTTCTTTTTCATGTCAGGCATGCAAGACACATTTTTATTTAACACTCCAGATAAAAATGACAAGAGCTTTGAGCAACAGCACTCGTGTAAGGTTCATTTTAATCCTGCCAGAAGGCTTTCAAGGTTCAAGAACCCCGTGTGCATGGATATGCAGTTAGCTTCTGAAAAAGGTGTTAATCAGAGTATGTGTGGACTGGGCTGAGCTGGGAGGGAAGAGTGCGGCATCATCTCATGCTCTCTACAGCAGCGATAGCATAAGCAAACATAGCGAGCTGTTAGCGTTTCAATACTGTGATCCAACAGCTGATCATCTGGTGTGTTCATGTGGTCTGCATTATTTTAGAAATAACCATTTGACTAATTGTAGGATCTTCAACACTAAAGGTCTCCTCTTAACTGGAAGTGACAGGCCTTCGTTTTGAAGGACTTGCTTGTATCAGAAATGCAGTTGGTTGTTGTAAAAAAAAAAAGAAAATAAGAATGATCAGTTGTTGGTCCCATATTGAGTATGTATCAAAGCGTTTTGATTGGTTCTCCTGCCACAGGAAGTGTGCATGGTCTGGCTGAGGGGATTGGGTGGAGCAAAAGAAGTTCAGAGCTGATAGGTGGCGAGAGGAGAATGAAGTAGGGCTGGCGTACCAATCTCTCCTCTCTCTCCTCCTGGCCCGGCTGCGCAAGCAACCAACAGACACACACGCAGACACACACGCAGACACACACACACACACACACCCGGTAGAATAAGACCCAGGTTAGAAACAACAAGAGAAGGGGCACAGGATGCCCACACTTGACAACAATATGACAATAATGTATCAGCATGGCAAAACAAGGAAGCTGCACAAACAATGATGTCATAAACGTGAACTGCAAGATGACAGCAGTGTAAAAACATAGGATGAGTGGACATGAGAGAGACACACATGCAAAACAAAGTGAAGCCGTCATTTGGGATTCAATAGCGCGATGACACCAACAGATGATTAATTGTGTCATTTTATTGCCAACTAAAATAAACAGAGAGCAACAATAGTAACAACTGTGGTACTCTAATTTGTCATAGATAGCAATTACATAATTATGTAAGTATAAGTATGAGAGGGAAAGTGCAGATCATTGCAGGACATTTACCCGACCAAGGTAGAGAGGCGGAGCCTCATTAAGCGCAATGTTTACCTTTGTCTATTGTTCTAATGGGGAATATCATTAACTATATGAACTCCTAAATCCATGAACATTTGAAAGTTGAAATATTTTTATTTTGAAATTATCACAACATCACATGGTTGTTGGAACAATAACAGGTAATAAAACTGATTTGGTAGCAGCAGAGTTCCTCATTGACACACCACAATAATAAAAAGGTGAAGCATATACTGGGTCTCCTCACACGATCAGCTGACAGTTAGTAGCAATAACTTCCAGCAAAACAATAAATGGGTTTACTAAATTAAACTTTGGCCATGAGAGTGCTTGGCAGTGTGACAGGCACTGTCAATAAATTGGGATTGGAATTTCACCTTTCACACTAATTACTCATAAAGACAACAAACCCATCACTAACAGGGAAGGATGAAAACTGTCCATACTGAATACAAGTCTTCCCAAACTATGAGGAAATCAAACACGCATAACATAGGTCAGAGGTCATGTGGCAACTGTGGGGAATCACTATGTTGTTCAAGAGCACTACCAGGAACGTGGTTTGTCACTTTTCTGTGTTAAGGATGACCATGCTGGTCATCCTGTAGCACTACTTTTGCAATTCACATCAGGCCAAAAGCCTCAAGTTCACTCCAAATTACAGTTGTGCAAACTACTCAGATAATGAACCGGTGTTGTAACATCCTGCTGGTCAATCTGTCGGCGCCTGTTATTTCACAAGCTGCACTGTTTAAACACCTCACACACCTTTTAGTTATTTAACAGGCTGCACCAGGATTTAGTTTTAGCTCTAAATTTCAGGAGTCAGCGGTTTTTACCAAACTGATGCCGACATATGCTTTCAACCACGCTTTAGTGGGCACTATCTTGGATAACCAGATTGGTTTATAATAATATTAATAACAGCAATAAGCTTTATATGTGAAGTACAAAATACTATTTGATAACAATAAAAAAGTCTAAAATTAAGTCCTGCTTCAAATGTCCTTGTAGTTCTTATCATATTTAGTTATCCTCATCCTGTTTTAGTTGAACAAATGTCTGGGTATTTTACTACTAGCCACAAAAAGAAGTCATTATTATATTTCAGGTTATACTAAACATTTAAGTCAATGTATTGCAGCAGAAAAGACATTTTTGGATTAGTTTGAATAGGGCTGAAGTGCAAACATCCACAGGAGTCATCACAAGTTTGCCCACACAGACGAACAAGACTAGATTATATGAAAGTTGGAAAGTATTTTGAATAAAAAAAACTCTTGGAGGTTGATCAGGCAACAGTTAAATATGTTAAAAGCAATTTTAACAATCGTATTTTCACTCTCCTTTCCAGCTCATATTTACAAACATATACAAAAAGAGGTCCTGTGCGTTCTCAGTAGAAGGTCTGATCATCAGTGGTGCCAGCAGCTGTTTGCTGGGTGACAGTGTTGCCACAACAATATGTCTAATGGCCAAAATCATTTCGGTGTCATGTTGCTGGAGTCTGTTGTGAGTTCCTGGCCAGAGGTTGAACAGACACATTCTGTGGTAATGACAGACGTTTAGTTAGGCTGAGAGAAACGTCCTGTGTGATTTAACAGCTACTGGAATGTGTGTAAGTGTGTGTTGCTCTTTCTAAAGTGGCCTGCGCGGCTCTGGAGTCAGAAGAACAGAACTGTTTGTCCTTTGGCTGGACAGGAACAGGATGCTTAAAGAACTCTGTCCATTGACTGTATATACTGTAACTGGGTGTCTGAGTGAGACAAACTGTCGGACGTATTACATTGCAATACAGGTAACATACAGATTTACAATGAAACCACTGATTAACAACTGTATTAGAATCTATCAGTATGAAGGAACAAGCTTTAACATTGGTCTGTGCACTGAGTGTTTTCAGATGTATGTTAGTGTGAAAGGAGAGCTGTGCTGCAGCCTCTGCTGTTAGGGACTGTATGTGTGTTAATACTGATTAGATCTCTTTCCCTCATTCAGATCCTGTACTTTCCAGTACAGAGCCATCTGCTGTCCCATATGGCCACACAGATAAATTACAACCTGCACAGCTTCAGGAGGGTTTGTGTCACTTGTATGTTTGTCGGTGAGTGTGTGTTTCAGAGTGAGGAAACAACTTAATAATAGATGCATCAACTCAGGTTTATGACAAATGCGACAGAAGATAAAAACAGAAATAAAATGATTAACATTGTGAGCTGTTTGATCACAAAACACAAAAAGGCAGATCAAAAATAGCTCAAGCGGTCAATCACACATGATTTGAAATGACTGTAAGAGGGATCACATTCCTTACAGAAAAGAAGACAACTCTTTTACTGCTTGATTAACAGAACCAGTAACATCAAGCTGATTGTTGATTGGTGAAGCTTGCAGGACGGGAAAGTTACCTGGAGACAGGCCAGCAGCCAGTCACAGGCCAGGGCCTGAGGAACCTTTCCTAAACTACAAACTGGGGACTCATCTATCTGTAACACAGAGGAGCCAGCGTACAGTAGGGTGCACAGAGGTGACAAACATGTGTTACAACATGTGGAAACCACAGTGGATGGGTTCAACTGATGTAACTTCAGTAATAAATAAAACTTCCTTCTGTTTGTGCACCATGAGTCACTGTAATAGGGATGTTTCAATGACTTGCAAAGAAAAAAAAGGAAAAAAAAGTTGACCTTTTGTGGAGGAGAAATAACTAAACAGAAATGTATTCTTACAAAATATGTTTTATAAAGGGAGAAATGTTGGTGAGGAAAAAAAAAGGACAATAAATCAGATCTGTTGTTTGAATTCGCTAAAATGTGTTCTCAAGTAACACAACTGACTTACTGCATGTTCACATGTAAGTGCATATGTATGTACAAAATGTCAAAGACAGGAAACTTCTTCTGTCAGTGGGGAGTTTAAGTGTGGTGAATGAAAGGCATCACAGTGACAGATTTGTCTCACATATGTTGTTACCCTAAAACAAAACACATATATTATATATACACTATAAATGGAAGAGTTGAGATTTTGCTAGCACTGAATAAAATGTGATGATGTACTCTTCCAATGTTAAGTGGTGTTGATAAACTTAAAGCAATAAGAAAGATCTATAATAATGATGTTTACACTTGAGCAATACATGACACTGCCCTGAGGGACAGAGATCTGATGGAAAACCAGCTGCATGATTAGCATCTTAAGCATTTTCAACATTGTGACTCTCTGAATATAGTGATCCCTTTACACATCTGTGAAGAAACACATGATGTAGTTCAGAGTCTAAACATATTCAACCATAGCTCAAATCTTTCTTCAGTACCAAGCAAACAAAATTTCAAGTTTAGCAATGCTAGCAGTCAATGCTGGCTGTCCATGCTGAACCGGAAGCTGTGCTAGCTGACAGCGCCAAGCTCTACTTCTCTGCAGTGGCATATCAGTGACTAAGCTGCACTGCTGCAAGGCATTGTGGGACATAAGGAGTGTGTACAACCCAGCAAATCTGAAAAGCATAACAAACATGAGACTGAGAAACAGTGTCACAGTTTATCTTCATCTTTGGAAGCTGTTCACTTTGATCTATACGACAGGCAGTTAGTTTTTCCAGGTGTTTGTTGGAGAAAGAGAGGAATGATCAGAAGTTTTTACCTGGGAGCCTCCAGCGATGGGGATGACACAGGTGAGGAGATTCCCGATCACTGTTTCCAAAGGGGCAGACAGGCCATCTACGTAGATGGTGTAGACCAGACCCAGACAGTTCTGTTTGTTAAAGAGGGAGGAATACAGTGGGTAAGTCTCACTGCTGTATTAACTTAAAAAATAATGGGCAATATTACTGAACTGTCATCAAAATAATACATTGCATTCACTGCAAGCACTACTTGCTCTTTATTATGCAACTGCAAAAAAATACAAGAGCTCAAAGACTCAACACCAATAATGATTTTTTTATTGTGTTTCAACTGCCTTCTGTGCTTATTCAGAAAAAGTGAATAAATAATCACGTAATAGTGTAATGGAGTACACAAATGGTTGTGTGCACCGTACCCTGAACACCTCGGTGTAGTCCAGTCGGGACACCAGCACCAGGCTCTTCGGGGCAAAGACCTTCGTTGCCTGGACGACAGCCAAATCCTCATCCACCTCATCCAACTCACTGGCCTCCGCCTTCTGCAGCTTAACACAACAGATAAGGCTGCAATCAGAGCAGGCTAAGATAAACACATCAAATTATAAACCTGAACTACTGAAGAGATTTCCAATAGAAAACCAAAAAATCAATATAGATGCCACAGTGTAAATCTAAATGCTGCCTTGTCAGATATGAACAAAGTAAACAGACAATGGGCCTCATGCAAGAACATGTTTGTATTCTTTAACTAAATTTCTCTTATATTTGTTCCTATGGGAGTTCCTACAAACATGTCACGACAGATTCAACAAAGACTTCTATTTTCAGAGAAGTTCGTAAATGAACATGCACAAGGATAACAAATTAGTATAATTAACGCCCCAATAATACAATATAAGACTACACTTCCTGCCCCATATGTTAGAGAATGTTCTTTCAGGAAAATGACATCAAAGAGTAAAAAAAAAAAATCTAACTTTACCAGTTCAGAGATTTAAGTCCTGATTTCAGAGTTCCAGACAGGAAAGTATGGACTTTTTAATAGGGTCAGAATTGGAATTAAGAGAACAGACACATCACTGATAATGCTGTTTATGCTGTTAATGCTGTATTGTGGGTCATACGTTCAATACAATAAGAAATACATTATTTGATATGAAAAAAGGCTTGTAAAACCTCTTGCTGGATAACAGTAGATGAATTTCTCGTGACTCATTTGATAGGTCTGGATCAAAACATTAGTTTGAACCTGTAAGATTAATGAAAATATTAAATAATATAAATAATTGTTGTGTGTGACATGTTCCCCTATATCACTCATACAACCTTACACACACAAACGGTTCTTGCACGAGGCCAAATGTTTACAGGTAGAAAGCATAAAATAATGTGCTGAATGGATATACTCAACACTGAATTTCATTCCAGTACAATCTGCTCATCCAGCAGATACAAGACTTCCTAGAGGGTTCTGTCTTTAAGATTTGTGTCGAAGTTCCATTAATTTGTCAATTCTTCACTTTGAGTGTTCGTGGTATAAGTATTTATTGACCCCAGGCTGTCACGACCTCCAAAAATAACAGGAAACCAATTCGGGATCATGTCAATCAGTCATTGCTGCTGAACGAACACCTGAAACTGGTCAGACAGACAGGGTATGAATCCTCCAGACAATATGAAGCTGATGTCTGCCACACCTGCGGGTTATCCAGGCACTCCCAGAAAGTGAAGCAGGCACAGTAGTGACGCTCCGAGTTGATGTCAGTCAAAACCGCTACAATGAAGGTGGCAGGCTGCCGCTCAGGAGCCAGCTGCCAACCACTGGGCTGACAGAACTAGGTGGGGCGGGGGGGGGGTTGAGGTGATGGTGGGAGAGGGGACAGAGGAAAAACACAGACATGGGTTGGAATCAGATTGGAAGGAAGGGAAAAAAACAAGACAGAGATTAGTTTGCATACCAATGTGGCAATCTTTGTGTCATATCAAACTGTGGGTCACATGTTCTTACAGCACCTCAGGGTGATTCATGCAGCTAAGCTACCATTAACACAACAAAACAGGTTCTGAGCGTTTTCTGTCGGCTTTAACAATATGACAACACCACCAGGGCGCTGACTCAAATTGAGCAAGTCGAAGAGTAATATTTTGTCTTCATTTGTAAACACATTAAATGCGTTACAGTATGAAATTTTTAAATATTTACACGTAAATCAAGAAATGTTGGAGCAAACAATACTGTCAGTGTGAAACTAAGTTGAGCAAACAATAAAAGTCAACATTAGCTGTGTTTTTTGTTACAATATAGTATTTCTTATGTTATGGTGATTAATCACTGGGCTGCCTCACTGACTTGATGACTCTGAAGTTAGACTTTATGTCACATATATTTCTGTATGATGTTAAATGTGCCATGTGCTGATTTCTTTTATCCTCAGTCAACTCATTCAAAAAACATTCAAGAGGCAATTTTAAGTTTTTCACATCTAACTCGATGACGTGTTAGAAATTCCATCCAACTTAGCGTATTGTCCCATACCGAGCACTGATCTGATGCCTTTGCTTCTTTTTTGTAAAAAGCAGAAGAGGGTACGAATTGACATACATATTGTATATTTCTGAGAGAAGCAGCAACTCTGTGCATTAACATAACTGAAACAAGCTGATTCATCTGCGAGAACTAACTAGTTGATGTACTTTGTGTAAAATTTCAAAACAAACTCCAATCACAAAAGTGCAGAAAGAGTCTACTGATAGAATAACTATGTGGAATGCAGCCCCTGTGGATCAGGAGGTTTGTTAGCTGTAACCATCTTGCTGTGGTCAGGCGGACATGTATTGACTGACCAAGTGTCCCTGGAAAATACCTGCTACATAAAATACTCCTTTAGTTCAGCGTGTGATGAAATGTGCTCAACAATAAATGTTGTAATACTGGCAGTTGTCCCTTGCCCCAACCACTGAGCTGGCCCAGGAAATAAGCTCATGTGTCTTGTTCTAGTCACCAAGCTACACAGGAACATGTCTGTGTGTGTTGACTTACCAGCTCTATGCCTTGTGGGAATGGGCTGTCCTCCCAGTCTTTCTCAGGAAACCGCTGGAGAATGCGACCTTGACCTTCACCCTCCACTGTAGAGACACAGAGAGACAAATACAGTTCATCCCAAGATTGTTTGTTGTCTGTTTAATTCTCATGAAAATCTCCATAAAGTTCGTAAACCATAACATCACAGTGGCATTCTTCTTTTTGTGTTTTATCATTTGTATGTTGGAAAATAAATAAGGTCTAAATGCAAATAATCATGTTAAAAGTAAATGTATATCTGGCTGCACCAACACAAACATACATTTGCTGATTTGGGAGACACATGTCCTTTATTAGCTTTGTGAAAGTGTTGGACCTAAGTTTGGTTTTCCAGGTAAGAAATGTGACTGTGAATGACTGAATGCAGTGATGGAACAAATATTAATACTACAGAAGAGAAACAGGAAGTTTATCTGGAGGATGGCCCACCAAACACTTTCTACTCTTGGAGCCACGCAGACCCCTCCTCTCTGAATGTGCGTCTTTGGCACAAGGAGAGAAAATAAAGCACGTATGGTGATTTGAGGCGATGATTAGCATATTGACATGTTACTTTGTAATTAGTTATTTAAGCAAAACAAAAAAAACATTCAGTCAGTCGTTCATATTTCAATTAAATTCTTAAATACCTTAAACATTACTTTGGTTTACAGTCAATTTATTAATGTGTTGCCTCAGCACTGACACGCTATCTGCTATAATTATCCCTCTAATATTACCAGTTTAGCCTGATGTTTTAAAATGTTAACCTTGTTTCTCTCTTCTATGATTCTCCTTCTATCTTAAGGAGTGCCTGGATTAGGGGTTTAATGTATTTAGTCTGCAGTGTTTAGTAAACAGAGCAACCCTTGTGTTTACAATGCTATAATAGCATATATTACATCACCACTTTCGACAGTATATGTAGTTCACTACATGTATAATTACTATGATAATTCTGAAAAAACATTTTGGACAAGAGAGTGGCCACAGGGTCATGACGTTGGAAAACAAGGAAATCAAAATCATTAATCATTAACGACAACAATTATCATAAGAACAACAAACATCTCTTAAATGCAGTAGTTTTTCTTTTGTTTGTTGTATGTTGCAGAGTAAGTATCAAGATTATTCCATATCTATCTATTAAACGGTAGTAGGATGTATTATAGATGCTCATTTGCTGATTTTGCTGGTTAATGAGGCCATTTTCACAGTTGGCTCATCACAGCAGCACAATTACAACGACAAAGACTGACTTATGTAACCACCACAGGACCTGACGGTTGCTTCAAGGCAGCATTCATCTGCATGGGGAATACAAATGATGTCAGTCTAGCATAAAAACAGTTCATAACTAAACATAATCCTATCCTAAATAAAAGACAATACTCTCACCAGCGAAACCTGGACATTTTATACAAAATTTTGCCTCTGAGAAAACAACAGAGCATGTGTGCCTTTACCAAGGGAACTTTAACAGAAGCCCAGACCCACACAGAGACAATACACAAACAGAAAGTAGGCCAGCTCCCATAACACACAGGGAAAAGCAAAAGTCAACCCCTCTCCCTGGCGACCTGGGGATGCTTGTGAGAGTGGCGCTCTGGAGTCAGAAGTCAAGAGGTTCACTTTACAGCCCCGAGCTGCTTTTAAGTGAACCAGTGGTGAATGGTTTGTTGCTTTACATCAATTACAATAAGTTGATTAAGTCAATTGATTGTATTTTCTGAAATCAGATGCCCAAAATGTTTGGTATCAGATAAGCTTGTGTTTAAACAGCAGTTCAAAAAGGACCCAAAACTTCAGACTGTAACAAAAATAAAACCTCCACATGGTTTCTGACTGTGAGAAGACGCACACACAAAAGCAGTGTGTTTTTGTGTACAATGAAAAACTATCATTCATCAGTAGTATAATGAATTGAGCAGTAAAGTGAACTCTACATATAAACAACACAACATTTCATTACAGAGCTGTAAAGTTCCACCGTTATATTATTAATTAACAACAGAGAAAACAACCTTATCAGTCGGCTGGTAGAAATAACTTTTATGACACTTAAGAACGTGACTTAGCCAACCCCCCTGTACACTGTGATGAGTCATCAGGTAGAGTATACTGGAACTAATGCATGCTGGTACTTGATGTCACCTCCCAACCGTTTCCTCAGGGAGGCGGATTTTACAAAGGAGACAACTTGTCACCTGGTACAGCCTAACTTTATATAGGTGTGTCAGGCGTGCACACAAACAATGAGAAAACTCTTGAACACGGTGTGACAGCCCAGATTAAGGCGTGTGTGGATACGCTATCTGCCAATAGTCAAGCAGGGTGGGGATTAATAATGAAGTTAAAGCAGGACATCCTGCAGCTGAGGGAGGAGTGTGTGAATGAGCCAGTAAAGAGTCTGTTGGGAGTGACACGCAGGCCTCCGGACCACTAGAGAGAGGGACACCCACACAGACTCTCATACAAATATCACTCTCATACTCACACTCTTCCCATTAAAAGCCTTCAACCCCAACTGTAACTCACTGCTCGCTGTGGGAGAGGAACGCTACATACAAAAGTGTCTCCTTCTTGCAAGAGGTTCCTTTTTATTCTAATCCAATGATGTCACGAATATGTGCATGTATACAAATACAGTTGTTTCTATGGAACGTAAACAAGACTTTTATGCTTCCAATTAACTTAACAAAAGCAGCAATTACGGAGAAATTAGAAGGTGCAGCACAAGCTAGTTGCTGTGCCATTGTACAGATTACAACCACTGAGCATTTGAACTGAACATAACTTTGAAAATGTTTTTGCTACCCCAAAGTAAACTACAGACAAAGATGTTCACATTTATTCTTGAGTCTTTAGCCACTGAGTTAAAATCAGAATGCAGCTTTTTATCATAATATCAAGTCATATAACTTATTTTCTGTAGCCAGAGTACTTAGTAGTTTATTTCTTTTACTGTAATCTGCCAGAAACCAGCTGTTTCCTGTGAGCTGTGGTTGCAGCCAGGGCCAGTCCAACCAGGAAAGATGTGCACCTTTCCAAGGGTTAGCACTGTCACTGAGCCCATTTGTTAGCAAACAGCTAGTTATGCATTAATTCCCCTTATATGATGAATAACGTCCATAAGACAACCTTTGAGGCAGAATGTCTCCCACTGCTCTCAATGGCCAGTTTGACCATGACAGGATGGGTGTTTGTGAGAGAGGAAGGGCAAAGTTGCAACATAAGAACTATTAAGTGTTTCCATTTTTTTGATGTATTCAATACTGGCAGAACAAAATAGAATTAATCACCTGGAACACAGAAATGAATGTAGTAAGTTCAAGAGTCTGCTGCTGCAGTCCAGGTGTTTTATCACTTATAATATAAACTGTTTTGCATCATGTTTTACTCAGTGAGCTTTTGCCAAGATAAATAAATCCTTGGTCCACAGTTTATAGACAAAATATGTGCTTACAATTCAGACTGTAATGTGCACTAAACACAGTTTAATATTCATGACAACAATTTAGGATGCTTATTTAAAGTTGAAGATATTAAGGTTCCCAGGATATACTCTTGCTTCACTTTTGTTGGTATCTATCATCAAGTATCAAATCAGAATCAATCAATTCCGGACTTTGATTTGATTGTGTGAATCTAAATGATTCGAATCGGGGGAATCTGTGTCAGTTATTCAGTCCACGGTCGGCCTGGTGCACAGGCAAACAAATAACACCCGAGTCAAAAATAAGATCTACAAAAGAGCTCAACTATTCAGATATGAGCTGCAGCTGGAATGCATCTTTGGCCGTTCAGTTTGCTTGGATCAAACTACCCATTATTAAATCGAATTTTTTCCAGTTCCTGCCGAAATACTGCTGCGTGTCACTGGATTGATCCTCTGTTTGTTGGCATAGAAGTGTGCTCACATACACAGCAGGCTCTGCACCAAACTCTAACACAACTGCATAAACAAGTTTTACCCTGGTTTCTGCAACAACACAGCAGAACTAACTATGAATGATGGCCTGCGAGACATAACCCAGACCTTCCAGCTGATCTCAGAGGCAGTGACACTTCACATTAAATGCTATGCTGCAGTTATTTGAAGTACTTTGCGACAAATAAATAACTGAACGAAATATTCAGCGCCATTGCTTCACATTGTGTCAAACAAATTATGACCCTCACCAACTTGGGTTGGGTCTCTGAGGGTTGGTCACACACTATAATTGGTGAGCTCAGTCCCATGCAGCATACACAGATAAGTACACCCCGAATGACAGGTACATAGAGCGGTAAAGAGACAGATACTGTAAGGCTGGTTTGACCAAGAGTAGAGCCAGTGGGTACCGAGCCAGAGCGAATCATTACGCTCAACAAAGCTGTACAAATAAATGTTTGTATATTTAAATAGTCAAAAGAATAAGAACATCAATGTATAGTGGTCAATGTAGATATTATTGGTGGACCAAACACAATTGAATCTATGTGTGCAGAGTTTCCCATTAATTATTTAGACATTGGAGGCCCACGCCATATTCTTTTTTGTCCCACCACAGTTTCATAATGAACCAAAAAGTTGTTTGCACTTCTCAAAATAAATTTCGAGATCTCTACTTGGTGTTTGCTCCATTGCAACATTGCATAGCTGTGTATCTTTCCCACCTAATCTGTGTACCTGTCACTTAGAATGTAGTTATGTTTATGATTGTTTATTATCTGTGACTATAGTTTAATTCTTAGTATCAAAAATGTGCCTGAAAAATCAAGTATTTGGTTGTGGCATAGAAAATAGGGCAGGATGTTGTTCTATGAAATATAATTATCCAGCAACACCTTGAACGTTGTAATTAAGTTTTGGAACTGATATGTTGTATGAATGGAAGAATCACACCCTTCAGTAAAGGTGGAAAGACAAAGGTGGCATTGAATGAAACTTCAGTGGGTGTACAACTAATGCATGATGACTAATCAAATGGAAAACAGTTGTGATGGAAATATTTACTTTAAACAAATACTAACTTAATTGTCTGCAGATGATTCTGCATCATCACACAGCAAAAGAAAAACT